GTCTGGAGAAGAAGATTTTTGAAATATTGATTAATTTTCCCTTTGGGGCCCCGCCCTGGCCCCAGGGGTCGGGGTAGGAATCTCAATTTTACAATTTGAAACCATCTACCTCCAAGGATAATTCTCACCAAGTAAAAATAATTTCCTACAGAAAGTTGTCAAAATATACCCAAAAGTGTTATTTCCCTATATAAACTATAGTAAACTTTACCCCCTCCCCAAGGGAGAACGGATAGCTCGGGGGTCCTGAAATTTACAATTTAAGTAAAGCCCCTGATGATCTTTCTTTCCACGTAGAGAAAATCACTGTAGTACCTCTGAGTCTGGAGAAGAAGATTTTTGAAATATTGGATAATTTTCCCTTTGGGGCCCCGCCCTGGCCCCAGGGGTTGGGGTAGGAATCCCAATTTTACAATTTTGAAGCCTCATCTACCAAGGATGAATCTGACCAAGTTTGAAAAAAATCCATCCACTGGTTCTGAAGAAGAAGTTGAAAATGTAAAAGTTTACGCACGACGCACGACGGACGACGGACGACGACGGATGAAAAGCGATTGGAATATGCTCAGGTGACCTAAAAATATTGTATAAGAATTCAAATACATGTATATATATAATATACTTTAAATTGTATAGACCAAATAACATATACATTGCTCAAAGAATTTGAGCTGTGAACACTACCAGTACAATGTCACACACACACTTTATACATAAAATATATACCAGGTAATTATCATATGTACACACTTGTGTTATTATAGTATGTTCATTACAAACCTGTAAAAAACATGTTTCTATTATAAACAACAAAAATTGCTACATCTTCATGACCAAAATGTTGTTCTTAGGCAATCTAAACTGTTATATCATGTAAATGTATTTGATGATGGGTCATGTCCGATAAAAGCTGAAACTGGTCACATCAATAAAATATCTATATAACATAAAAACCTGTTCATTACATTTGGTCAATACTCTGTGGGTCTGTTTGTTATTTGTTTCTGTAAGTTATTATCAATCATACAGGGTTCCAACACTTACTCGATGTCTGAGACATCCGATATCCCATTTTCATCTGTACATGTTAACGTTCCTTTAGAAAACACCTGAGGGGCAGGAGTAGAACTGGAGGGTCCTTCATGACGAGGGAGTCTGGGAGCTTGCTGTCTTGAGGAAACATTCAAGCTAGTACTGTGCAATTCCCTTGTGGCTGATGCATACCTATATAAATAGATGAATATTCTCCAGTCCGGTGGGGGTGGTGTTTATCTCCCATCTGGGGAATCATCACAGACTACGACGGACTTTGTTTCCACCATTTATTTAAAACAACAGCAACCGTAGCACAAACAAGACGTAACGTAGAAAACACCCTACAATGACACAATAACACACGTATAAGAGACTGACTCAATGTTTCACTGAAATATTACATTATACACCATACAATGTATTTATAAAGTATAAAACCTATCAAACTCATATTTATTAGCTGTAATTATACGGTAATTAATACTATACAATTTAGCTCCGTCACATATTCCATTATTATAGTGGCATTACTTGTAAAACTATGTGGCTCTATGGCCTATTTAATTGACTAATTAAATAATATCAATAATATACAATATCTGAAATACATTTTATCATTAATTACATTACATTAATTAAACGTGAACTTACTCTTATCATTCCGACAGGGGCTAGCTCCGTGCTTGTACACTACACAGGTCTACTAGAATTCCATTTCACACCTGGACCAAAATATAAGTGGTCCTTTACTATGGGGGTCATAATACTCATTTAGACGGCTATAGCTAGTTAACATAATGTTTAATAGGTATTTAAGTTAATTACTTAAAATAGAATGGTCTCTAACATAGCCAATACTTTCCCAATATTCATTATACAGGTTGACCAATGCTAACAATGGCAGGTAGAAGTAATTGGCTCAATAAAGCTTATTTTGAGATATATTATTATAAAACATATGCAACACCCCAATTCATACCTGGTTCTTTTCTAAATCCTGGTATCAAAATGTTACTCCGTGCATGGCTGCCAGTTTCTTGCACACAGAGGTAGAAAGCATGCAGGTGAGGGATACAGTTGAGGTTGCAGTCACATGACCAACAGGTACTTTACATAGGTCACAGGACAGGGGCACAGGTCACAGGACAGGTAAACATACACAAAAGCACATGGGACTGTTGACATCTGAACACATGGACAATGTTACATACATGACAGTACCATACACCACTATTCCATACAACCCATGACATAATTACTTTAAACATTACTGTCACACTTGATATACTATACACATATTATGGACATTACCTAATGGTGGGAGTTATGTATTTTGTATGTATTTCTGTAAAAAACATGGTAGTTAAAACTGTGAAACACCAGACAGGCTGTCTCCGCCACAATTGATTGTCTTACAATGCATTTATTTCCAGGTGCACATACATGTACACAAATTATTGCAGTTAGTCTTCACTTCATGATCATCTAGAAATAATCAACTACATTAGGAATCAACATTTACTCCCTGTCGTAGGCATTGTATATCCCATGTGCTGCTGTACATGCTTTAGCTTTACTGTGGCATTACATTATATAATGAGCAATAGAATATTGAATTGTATATATGCAGGTTCATGTAACTATTAGAAGGTCCACCATCAGGAAAAAATCTGGAAGTGAGCTTCTTCACCTGGTCTATAAGATGAGATGTTCGCACACACTGATGCTGATTTTTCCCCAACATTATCTCCACCCACTCCACTAATAATTCAAACATGTAAAAATATCTCTTGTACATGTTCTTCATGATGTAATTGCTTTATATTGACCTATGAGACGGATGGCTCTCGGAAATAAAATAAAAAAAATGAACTGAAACTTATATTTACACACTGTGCCATCATTTCAATATTATAAAAGTATGACATTTGAAAGAAATTTGCTTATAAATAAATATTTCAATATCATACAAAAAATCATACAATTTTCTGGGCCCGGAAATAATTAGCATCTATATTTATTACGCTGTGTTCGTATGGTAACACATGCAACACTCTAAATAGTTAAACTCAACGATACCGGCTCTGTATAACAAAATCATAACAATTATCCCTCCGAGGGCCCAATTGGAAATCAAACTAACCAGTCGACATCCCATACTAAGTGGATCAACTTTTGTGCGCAAATAAACTACTTCTGTCTGATAAATGACCGTTCAAATAACAAATTAAATGCATTCGTGTGCCAAAGACAAACAAACAAGGTATAAGTAGCAAGTAAAACAACAATAGCTCGATATCATGTCAACTTTATTTCCAACTTACCAGCAATCGAGAATGATACGAGCTGCATCCGGATTACTAGGGCAGTTATTGTCTTCCTTGAATGCCTCCCACCTGTCGTACTGTGTCCCTAACGTAATCCTAGGGTTTTCCTTGGACCATTTGGCATGTCTTTGCTTTGTTGCCGACACGCTGAAACTTCCCGCGGAAGCCATTGTTGTTTACAGTGAAATGGCGTAATATGCGCATGCGCTACTCCATATGACGTAGACATAATCAATGGAATCCCCAAACAAAACGTTGGTCAGACAGGTAGAAATTCCGATTATCATTTTAAAATTATACAGGTTTATGAATATATTTCAGCGAAATCCGACCGTCACTTTCCATAAGGAGTCTCACTTGGTATGTTTATTGAAGTATTTGAAAAAAAAGACAAAAAAACATGTTACTTTACCGTGATGCCCCTTTAAAGGTCAAGGTCACTGTTGTAAAAAAAAAATAGTATGGAAGTAATATGGCTTGAGTTTTTGCTGAACTTTGTTTTCATTTACCTCGCAAGGTATTTTCATTTACTACGCTAGGTTTTTGTAAAGCCTTAATTGTTTTGTGAAACTGGTAAGAGTTTAAAGTGAAATCATGATCTTTTTGGGAAATTGAGTAATACAAGTCTTTTGATGACCCATACATTCAACTATGTATGTAATTTACGAAAACTCTCATAACAGAGTATTAATTACAGTGTTTTCTATGCATGCCAGGTTTCTATAAACACGCATGTTCTTAGTTAGTAACTATGTTCTTTAATGGTATATAAAAAATCCTTTCTTTTAATTCATTAAAAACATCAGCAAATTTCCCCAAATACTTTGATAAGAGCAAAAAAGTCCATCATCATGTTGATATTGGTGATTCTACCTGAAGGTGTACATATTCTTATAAAAACTGTCTGATGAATACATATTTGTTTGCACAGTAGGTCGATCAGTTGAAGTGCTCTTTGAAGGCTCCTCATATGAGTTGTGTGATGAAGCAGAAGTACTACGCGAACCCTTTTATGTAGACGATTTATCTGGGGACCAGATAGACGTGATTTGACATCAACTGCTTTCAGATTCCAAATCAATGAGTCACAGAGACTGAAAAAGTAGTGATTGTGTCGGAGGATGAGGACATTGGAAAACTCTTTGATAGGGAACATATGGTTAATGCAGAGGTCCACGAAGAATTTGGAAACGATTTGCCTACTGTAGCAGATTATTCCATTCAACAGGATCATCAGCCTCACAGTGTTTTGAATACATATATGAGGAAATGAATTTTGAAGAAACTTGTACCAAAAAGACGCACGCCTGCAGTTCAGCGCTCATGATGAGGACACCAATAACAGCAAAACAAATTGTACCTCCTGTTGCAGTTGCTCAAAGAAAAGGTTCAAGACAATCAACTCAAAATTGGACAGGATTTTGTCATGGTATCGACAGGCAGCGAATTGAGGGTTACCAACCCTCGTCAACCTGATTCCAACCATGAATGAATATGAAGAAAAACAACTCTGTAATGATGTGTCCGATGCACCCCCTACCCCCATGTTGAATGTGGACCCAATAGATGTGTATGAATAAACGAAGATGACACCTAACTTATTGAGCAATGGGATTGTAGAGAGCTCGTGTCCTGATGATTTGCGGGAAAACCACTCTAAGTACAGGATCACACGTGATGTGATGTCGGACGCCAAATCAACAAGTTCGTCAAGAGGTAACTTTATGTCAGAAGATATACAGAAAGTCCGAGATAGAAGACAGAAATTACAGAGGCAAACGCGGAAAGTTGGCACTTACTCCAAGAAGGAAAAAGGCTCTAGAGCATGCAGTGTGCGACACATACGGTGTTTCTGACAATGTGTTGAGTGAAGCCATAACAGCAATCTGTTGAGTGAAGCCATAACAGCAATAAACACTGGAATTATATCTCAACATTTTTTAGGCTGCATAATTATGCATCTTTATGAAACAAATAAGGACAAATAAAATATGTTTCCAAATTTAATTTGGAACTAATTTCTTTCCTGTAAAATAGCAAAAAACTGTCAAAGACTAATGTCTTCCAAACTGACGGTTAAATTGATTGATAAATGAATAAATAACTAGATATTTTCAAAATTGAAAAATTGTGACATTGAAATTTTCTTTTTATCTTTCTTTATTAAACTTTTTTTCACAATGCATTTTAGCCAGTGCATTTGCCAAGTTTTTTTTTTTTTAATGAAATAAACAATGATTTATAAACAATATACATTGATGATATAGCAACAGTACAATAAATATATTAAGTGATTTAATTAGTTACCCTGATAAATTAGTTAAATTATAAATCTCTGACTGGACCTCCATGGTAGTCATAAAAAGTTGTAAGTCCAATCGTCAGTTTTAAACTATCATCAGAAATATAGTTAATGTATATAATTTGAAGTTTACTTCACATTCCTTAATAATCCTATACGTATCTGTCTTCCCAAGAATGTTGTAGTGTAACGCTAAAGTACACAATCTAGAATATGTGGATCACATATTGTACTTATTTGTTTTTTGTCGATAATTCCCCTGTATTTGTTTCACTGTCCTTTTCTTACAATCTGTTGTGTATAGTAGCTCATTTTGGTAAACTATTATAGTCGCTAATTATTTTTATTCAATTCTCCTGTAAAATCAGTAATTCCGTAGAACCTTTGTTTACGTTATATATATATAATAGATATCTCGTAGATTTGATCAACATATTTGTTTTTGTCCGAATAATATTAGATATCCCTGTGAAAATAATATATATATCTTAACCCAAAATAAAACCCAGTTAAAAATGTCACATACCTCAAGAACAAAAAGAAAGACACATTAATCTGTACGGGCTTGGGTTCCACCCCGCCGAGGTTTCACACCTTCACACCTGGCCAATAATCCCCCTGGGCATAGGTGACACTAATTAGACAGCCACACTGTATACACAAATCGGATAAATTATTGGCAGATAGCCTTTATTCTCATCTCATTACTAAAAGGTTAGATTCCTGTGTAATTAAAACTATTCTATAATAATTAGTTAGCTCTTTACCTGTTAAATATTTTAATTTTTAATTTTAAGTAAGTTTTCTCTCTTAAAGAGTTACTTCCCCTAGACCAAGTATGTTTACCCCAGACCAAGTATGTTTACCCGAAACAAAGATAACCCAGCCGTGGTTATCATAACCCCACATACCAAAAAAACATTACACGCAGGACGTGTTCGGGGGGATATTACGCAATACACCGGCGTCACCAGTGACGTAAACGCGGTAAAAAAATATCCTCGGGTATCATACTGATAGCAGGTGGCACAATGGCCGTAGTAAACAAGGCCTGTAAGTTCACCGGCGTGGACAGTACCTTATGTACTACACTGCACGTCTTTCAAAAAAACGTACAATGCCCGTCCTAAACACAAAACAAACAAAGACTCCAACACTACAAAAGGGATTATTTATAGAATACCGCACAACATATCCATGACAGAAATCATGAAAATACAACACCTCCAGAATGCACAACAAAAACAAAGAACAAACAACATCAGTTCGCATAGAGTTAAGCTCTCAAATACTCCCAAGGTAGGTAACTTTTAACCAAGTTTCTTTCCCAGTATCCAAGTTTAACACCCCAAGAACACACCAACCAAAAACAAACAAAACACAACAATCTCAAGCCCAATGTAAACCCAAATGTATCGCCCCAACATCCATGGACATACATCAACACCCAACCAACAGTTGACAAACAACAATTGCACAACACAACCAGGGCTCTACGTCACGGCCGAGCTTTTAGGTACCGCCCGTGACCGAAATATAAATGACAGGGAAGCATTAGAAAAAGCCCGTGCATTAATAAACACAGAAAACGGGCAAGACTCGCCCCTATCATCACACAAACAACACCCATACATCACACAGAACACCTACTAGACAGCACACGAGAAGAAGGGTTATTATCCACAACATCACGACCACCCACTCTCATCACACCAACAGACATCAAAGCTTCACGCACACAAAATAAGGCCAAACACGCGACCGAAAGCTAAGACAGGAAAAATCCCTACTAAATCCGGAAATACCGGGAGCCGTCATTGGCTTGGCTTGTTTATTAGGTCATTCCATTCAGATCATGATACATTTAGACATCTTTTCTTTTCGTGGCCATAAATGACCAGTTAGGCCTCACTGTCATGCATTGGAATGCAGGGGGTCCCCAAGACCCAAAATTTCAGAACTTAAATATTTTCTAAATGAAATTCCCCGGACTTATTATGCATACAATAATCATGCATGAAACAAAAACATAAAAGTTTAAAAATAAATGGATATAATCCTCGGTCAAGATGTGATTTTAGACCAAGGTTTGGCAATCTATATAAAATGCGGAATTGCATACAAAGAATATAAAATAAAGGATAAAGAATTAGCAACTCTAGGAACAGAACTCCACAATAAAACAGTCGTCCTTAATATATACCTTTTAGATACAGGGATATTTAATGACAATCTCACTAAATCCATTTTAAAAATCACCTAAAACATTGCATTCCTAAAACTTCAGGGAAAACTAAAACTAGGAAAAATAGCGAAAAGAAATGGAGAGCAAATCCGAATACACGCGAATCAAAACTATAAAGTTAAAGCTATTCAGGGAATAAATAGATAAGAAATCCCTATTTCAGGCAAAAACAACATCACTGATAAGGAAAAAGCTGACACTCTAGCCAAACAATATCAGAACGCCAGTAGTAATTGTAACCCGACCCCTGAATTTAAACTTAATAAAACGCACAATAAACTAATATACATAATGAAATCTTAGATGCAGGCCCCAACACAGGTGTAATAAACAACCCATTTTCAAAGACGCAGGCCCCAACACAGGTGTAATAAACTACCCATTTTCAATTAGCGAGTATAAACAAGCCCTTCAAAACAAGAAAAGCACATCCCCGGGTGACGACTACATCTCATACACCATACTTAAACAATGTCCCGAAACAACCAGTCTCATATAGGCCCATATCACTGACCTCTCATTTATGTAAAGTAATGGAGACCATGGCAAACAGTCGGTTAGTTTATACCCTTGAACGATCATGTATTATAAACGAGGAACAAAGTGGATTCCGGAAAAAGAAGATCAACATAAACCCTCTACTTAGACTTACTTATGAAATCCAAAAAGGATTTAACCAGAAACTCAACACATTGGCTGTATTTTTAGATCTCGAAAAAGCCTACGACCTCATTTGGCATGATGGATTACTAGTTTCTCTTAAAAACCACGGCCTAACAGGCAAATATATTTAAGTTTATTTACGGTTTTTTAGGTCACCTGAGACAAAGTCTCAAGTGACCTATTGCGATCGCCTTTTGTCCGTCGT